GCTTCTAAAATACGGCAATAACTATCTAACTAACATGATTGATAAATATTTGTTGGATTCCATATAGGGCAGAGGGACAAGGTGGGGCAGAGAGAAGAGACAAGGCTAAAAGGCCTTGGTGTCATGACATGGACCATTATAATATATAATGATACCTGTTGATAGTAGATATATATATTGATAAGGAAATAACAAATTATTGGCCATCTCCAGAATGCTAAACAAGCAACTACTTTCATTCCTTTTTATTTGCATCCCGTTGGTGGTCGTGGCCGTGATCACGGCCACAATCACCACCACGGCAGCACCTATAGCTGCCGATGAGACCGTCACGTGCGACACGGTGATTAATAGCCTGAGATCATGTCTTGGCTACGTAATTGGTGGCGGAATTGTGCCGTCAGAGTGTTGTAACGGGCTTAAATCTCTCCTTATCGTTGCACGTACCACAGCTGACCACCAAAGCGCTTGCAAATGCCTGAAGAGCATCGATTCAGGCGTTACCAGAGAAGAATTCAGCCGTGTTGCTAGTATTCCCAGAATATGTAAGGCCAAGGTTCCTTTCAAGATTAGTCCAGATGTTGATTGCTCAAAGATCAAGTAAGAGACTCCTTGTGTGGAATAATGTGAATTGTAGACGTTGTGTTTACCTGTTTTGTCAGAGTTTCGTGTGTTCTTTTGCATCCAAGTTATATGAGATTGAATAAGTTTGTGTTAGTGAGAGTGGGATCATTGATGTCCATTACTTTCCGAGACACTATATATATATATTCTAGTAAACTTCTCGCACTTCGCGCGAATTTTTAATACGTAAAATTCATCAAAATATTATTCTCTATATTTGAGGAAGAATATTTAAACTTATACAAAGGTATATTTGGAAAAAAAATGAATTGGTTAATATCTTCAGTACAGATTACTTAGCCTTGGCAATAGGAAATATGAGCATTTCAACAAAGGGTGAGATTAATATGAAATGTTTCGTTCACATTAGATTCTTAAAGCGATTAAATATATGTAAACATGTGATATATTTTCCTTCTGCATTTACGCATATTAAAATCTCCATAAATGCACCTCCTTTCGTGATACAACCCACCATACTATAAATCGAGGCCAAAAACTCATTCAACCTTCTTCTACAATTTCTCCATCAAAGACTAACTATCACTTTCTAAGTTAAAAATAATTTGGGAAGTAATTTAAAATCAAATAAGTAGCTTACGTGTGGGAGTGACATTAGGAGTATAGTCGAGGATCCTCCTCGAAGTAGTTTGTATAAGCCCAACAATATACATCCCCTCTATAATCTATTTAGGCGCACATTTCATTTTCCAAACTCCCTATAATGTTAGGCAGGGAACACTTAACATAAATATTGAGTGATGCCATTTGAAGCTTTTAAAGTCCACCATTCCATTAAGATACATTGCACATCTCTATCCTAAAAAGCAAAGCCCATTAAGGCTGAGAAGAGCTTCCTTACACTTTATGCAATAATAAAGTCAAAGTAATGTTAAAATGATGGTAGAGAAAACTCATGAGATCTTCACTTGCAAAGATTATATTTGTCATTTACACTGAATCATGCTTATTGATCTTTAGTTCCATCATAATTGACGCTAAAGACTGGAATTGAGAGAGAGAAACGTAATCCAATAAATGAATTAAACTCATTCGAAGAGTAAGACGGAAATCCAAAATTTAGAAGAGCTTCATGCCATCGTGACTAATTAAAGAGGCAAGTGAGTAAATGTACCATTTCGCCAAATAGGTGAACAAATTTAAAGAACAGTTGAAACCAAAAAGCAAAAGTGATGGTCACCGTTGTTGATGAAGAACCGAAATTTGATCGTAAAGAGCAATATAATTGGTGAAAATTGAAGAGAAGCAATCAATGCAAACATTTGACAATAAGATTCAGTTAATTAAATGAACCAAAAGAAGTTTTAGTGGCTGCAATAGATCTTAACGTCGTCAAACATGAGGATGTTAAATGTTTATCAACCGGTAAATTAATTAAGTCAAACTGTAGAAGTAATATATGCAACAGTTCAAGACAAACTACAAGCTAAAAATCTCTATAATCCTAGGCAAAACATATCTTAACACAATTTCCAACATGTTCATTTTGATTCTTGTCCAAGAAGTAAGACCAAATTTTCATTTTAGGAAAGACATTCACTATAATTTATTTGGGAACTTAGAGAGCACTATTTATTTTTGTACAACTACACGAGACGCAATAATGAGGAAGCAAAAATATACTGATAGTTTAGGAGAAACACAATGATCTAAAGAGAAATTCAGATTTGACGCAATCGCTGATCTTTATTCTACTGCATATACTGCACTTAGGCAAGTAAAATATGTATAAATCACCGGACCGAATAAACTGTAAACATTAAAAAAAAAAAAAGTAGCAACTGTAAATTAAAAAAAAAAATAAAAAATACCCAGAGATTTAAAGAAAAATGAGCTGTCGTTAAGGCATACTAAATTAAAATACTTAAAAAGATGTAACTTGATACATGAGGAACAATGTAGGAATGAAGTGAATAAAAGAAGTAAATAGACGACATGAGAGACAAATACAGTAGGAAGTAAAATTCCACAAAAAAAAATACTTCTCTTAAAACGCATGTTTCAGTTTTTAGCTAAGGTTCAAGTGTAGATCCCGGTACCAATGATATTATGTACTCTAACCATGTTTCTGTAGATTCGATGGGTAGAAGTGGAGAGTCCAAACTTATTTTGGAAGCCCAAAGTCACCAAAAGAGTCACCCCTTACTCTTTTTCCTCTCCATTACTACGATGCGCGAGTGAGTCTATAGAGAAACATAACACATGCATCCCTTACTCTTCATCCTCTCAATTTCAGTGTTAGTATCTCCCTAAGATGAAAACATCTTCTCTGTTTTGCTGGATTTATATGATATCCAGGCTAAAACCATGCATCAATTTATTGCTGAGTATGTATCTATCATTCTCCTTGATATACAAATAATCTTATGTTTGTAACAGTGAAGAAATAAAGATATAAGTGAGTGACAAAGAGATAGAATTTGTAGCATAGACAAATCATAAAGTTAAGAAAGAAGAAAAGTAGAAATGTGTCATAGAAAAGAAGAAAACTGAGGATTTCTTCATTGTATTCTTACGAACACGGCAATTGACGAAACGGAAGATATTAATTGCTTAGAACTTACTTGCCTTTGGAATTTTATGCGTACCGTTTACCCTAAACGGATAACAATTGAATTTATACGTGGCTCTAAGGATACGTTATATAACTTGGCACAAGCTGAGAAAACATATAAATTGATATTTGAAATTAACTGTAGAAAGAAATAAACGTAAACCAAACGAATCGTATAGCTTTGGCCCTTGAGTTAGATCACTCTCGAACCAAGTGAAGATTCCACTAGTATATAAACAAAGTAACAAAATATTAAAAGCTGAAAGAAGGCAGTGTATTGCTTTTTATTGCGTAAATGTAATACCCCTCTACAAATGATCAGACCCCCTTTATATAGTAGGGGAGTCCTACTCTTGATATAATCCTAAATACAGTAAGGAATCTCATGATAGGTTAATTAATTGGTCTCTCCTTGATATGCGTCGGAATTTTCGCCGTGATTCTCACCCAGTTGCGGATATTTCACTTTATGTCATTTGGCTCGATAAGCTTTCCTTGGTCTCGCTCGGTCTTTATTTTGCTTGGTCTCGAACTTGGCCGATCTCGATCTTGATCGGTTTCTGGGTCACGAGCTCGGCAATCTAACTTCGCATCATGGCTCGATATTACACGAGGTTGAACCTTGGTCTATCATGTTCCAGTCTCGATTAGTCATACGAAGGGCGAGCTCGGTTTTGACCGTATACAAATAGTCCCCTCGTTTCTCAGAAATAAGATGGCGAGAAACAATATGAATTTTTGAACTCCAACTCGATGGGTAATGATGTCAGCGATGAGCCTGATTATGACGTATACGACGAAATGTCCCGTCGGTCCAGTTACCAAAGCATTAAATGCCTATCAGTCGTTGGTCGCCCATTACCATTCTAAACCGTCGCCAGCAACCTATAAGAACTCTAGATTTTCTCATTCAAACTTTTACACTCAAAGCTCTTTCTACTCTTGCTTTTTATTCAAAAACCCACTTTGCTTCAGAATTTTCACACCCAAATTTCTAGAACTCTAATCAAGTTGCATACCATCCTAATTCTCTTTTCCCTTGTTCATCAATGGCGAAAACTTCCAAAACCGTGCTTCAAAAGGAGGCTGTTTCTTCATCATGATTCGCCGGTGGTGAGGCTGGGGCGGAGCCCCACCTTGAGGAAGTCGTTCTGGTAGGTTGCCCAACTATCACTGACATTAAGGTCAAAAAGGCCTCCTCGGTACCGGGCCGATGTGAGCCGGTCTCGAGATACCTATGCGCAATCACCGAAACAATCCTCTACAAAGTTAAAGAGGAATGCAACTGGGACAAAAAACATGTAGTAGTCCCATTGCCTGAGGAATCGATTACTACCCACGTGGAGGGGTTTCTAAGTATTTACACTTACCCCTTCACGTTGGGTCCCTTAGACCCTGTCATCGTTGCCTTCAGCAAGATATATGACGTGACCCTTAGCCAGATCCATCCTTTCTTTGGAAGAATAGAAATTCTCCTCCGATTCTTCACAATATTTTCACCCTCGATCACCTTATGCGCCTTTACAGTCCCCGACTCTATCAAGGAGGGTTGATCAAGCTTGCTCGCCGGGCCAACAAAGCCCCATTCTCGAGCATAGATGAGGCTCGTGACCGAGGTTAGATAGGCTGATTTGTCCGAATAAGGACTTCGGACCTGATCCCTGCTGAAGACATGTCATTTTCTAAGAAATGGATGTGATGACCCAAAAGGTCATCTTATGTTTTAGAACTCGAATCTGCGCTCTTATGCCTTAAAAATCTCATTATTACCCTCTTCGATTTGCGTGCGCAGCCCGGGCAGATTTCCGAAAAGCTTTTATGTTGAAAACTAATGAAAGAAAGAATTTTTTCCTTAAAAGTTAATTTTAATTGACTTCGATCAATATTTTTGGTAAACGAGCCCGGATCCGTAGTTTGACAGTCCTAGTAGGTCCGTATCGAATTATGGGACCTGGGTGTATGCCCGGAATCGAATTCGGAGATCCCTAGCTTGAGTTATGAATTTTTGATAAAAATTAAAAGCTTGGAAATTATTTATTTTTAAGAATTGATTGATATTTGGCATTGTTAGTATCGGGTTCGTATTTTGGTTCCGGAGCCCAGTACAGGTTCATTTTGATATTTAAGACTTATCTGTGAAATTTGGTGAGAAACAGAGTTGATTTAACGTGATTCGGATGTCAAGTTGAGAAAATAGAAATTTTAAAGTGTTCTTGAAAATTTCATTTGAATTGGTGCTAAATTCATAGTTCTAGGTGTTGTTTTGGCGATTCGATCGCGCGAGCAAGTCCGTATGATATTTTTAGACTTGTGTGCATGCTTGGTTTGGAGCCCCGAGGGCTCGGGTGCCATTCGGGCGATGCGCGAGTTGAGTTCAAACCTCAACAAGGCTGTTGGTGCACCAAATCTGGTGTGCCCGCACCTGCGAGCCTTTGGTCGCGGGCGAGCGATAGCCCCGCAGGTGCGACCCAGGACTGGACTTCATTTTTTCCGCAGATGCGGACTCTTCTCCGCAGGAGCGAGACCGCAGAAATGGAACCATATCCGCAGGTGTGGCCCCAGTTGGCCCAGTCCGTTTCCGCAGAAGTGC